TCCAGTCTCGCCCGTGCAGTGTTGGTGGAATGATGAAGGGAACACTTCTGGAGCTGCTCAAGACAACAACAGCTACTGACTCTTCTGGTTTAAATATGGAAACCAAACCTGGTAACGATAATAAGCTTAACTGGTTTTCTCTCACAATTTTGTAAAAATTCTACAGAGATGCACAGCTAGAAAAGATAAATGCCCATTGCTTTGCTCTGAGGGCTGGAGCACCTCTCCTATGAGGACAGGCTGAGAGAGTTGGGGTTGTTCAGCCTGGAGAAGAGAAGGCTGCGGGGAGACCTGATTGCGGCCTTTCAGTACCTAAAGGGGGCCTATAGGAAAGATGGGGAAAATCTTTTTAGCAGGGCCAGCTGTGTCAGGACAAGGGGTGATGGTTTTAAACTAAACCAGGGTAGGTTTAGACTGGATATAAGGAAGAAATTCTGTACAATGAGGGTGGTGAAACACTGGCATGGGTTGCCCAGAGAGGTGGTGGAGGCCTCATCCCTGGAAACATTCAAGGCCAGGTTGGACAGGGCTCTGAGCAACCTGATCTGGTTAGCAGTGTCCCTGCTCACTGCAGGGGGGTTGGACTGGGTGACCTCTAGGGGTCCCTTCCAACCCAAAGCATTCTATGATTCTATGAATTGATTTTACTTGTATAATGCCTAAAGGTCCAGTGAGGGACATCAGATCTCAATTCTTCAGGCAGATCCCTCGCTGCTCCCCTTTCTTCTCCTTTAGAACTGGTCTTTCAAAAGGAAAGGAACAATTAACTGCAGCTGCTTGCTTTGGAGCCCCAAAGCCCTGTGGTAACTGACTTCCCAGGAGAGTCTCCTTCCCGAACTGAAGCCCTGTTGTTTGGTTCTTGGATGCTCCATCATGAGACCACCAGGAATGACTCTGGAAGGCAGGCCAAACCTGCCTAAGTAGCAGGTGAAGCTATCCATGCACCAATTACACCAGGATGTGTTATCTCTTTTCCATAAATCATAAATCATCATTGCATTCGTAGTTACAGAAAATATTATTTTCCTAAAGGAACAAACCAGAACATGACAGATGTTTTCATATAATTCAGGGCTCTCATTTATTTCTGTACATGCATATATTTAGATCACCCCCTCATTTGAGATTTGACAAGTTGCCGATAGTGTACACTTTAAAAACAAAACAAAAATATGTACCTTGTGCTTTTTAGTTGCACTTCAGAAGTTGACTGATCCTGGAAAACAGCATTTGCTGTTTTGACAGGACTGGTGAGCTTTTCATAAGAAAGGAGGCAGCAAAATTTCTTCCACAGCAGGTACACAGTTATGCCAATGAGAACAAATAAAAGGATCCCTCCTATTATACCTCCAGCGACAGCAACTGCTTGCTCTGTTCAAACACAGAAGCACATAAAGCGTCAGAGGAGGATCAGAGTTATGTACGTTTTGGGGGTAGATGGGAACATTAAGGCTGACAAATGTATTTGACTTACGTTCCAAAATGATTTTTAAATGAAACATGCCACTTGCGTGCACGCTTTCGTCTTTGGTTATAGCATGATGATGCAACACGTGAAGATGTGTGACATCGGCAGTGAGAGATCAGAAAGCGTTCAGATACGCTGGCAATGACTGCACTGTAAGAGACTATAGACAGGGAAAAAACCCCAAACCCAAGGAGGAGTTTGGGCTCTGATTTTGCATTAGCACAAGCATTTACCTTAGCCTGGCGGAAGCACTAGAGCTGTCATGACAGAAGGAAAAGAAAACCTGGGAGCATCTAAAGGTACCATTATTTTGGTTTGGTTTGTTCTTCCAGCTCTTCACCTATGTTGAGCTGAGACTCACTCCTGGCACAAGGAACAAAGCACAGCTCTGGGTTGTTTTCTTTCTAAGGATGCATGTGTTTCCTGAGCTGTGAAGTTAAACTGAAGTATCCATCAAACACTGTTTCCTGAGCCTTGATTACTTCAGATAAAACCAGATCCTGTATAATTTGGGTTTGGGGTTTTTTCACACTAATAAAATTGAAAACTTAAGAAATGTTTTTAATGTGAAGATGAGGAATTCCGTTGTGAGAATTCCTCACTAGACTGAGGGTAGACAGGTGCTAATGGGCTCAGTTCCTTGTTTTCTCGTGTTTGCAGAGTACGCCAGAGTGAAAGGCTGGAAGAAGCGCTCCGGCACCGTCCCTTACACCCAGCCTCCCTCGGCTGCCACCACCCTAGCGCAGGTGCAGCCAGACGTGGCTAGGTCTCACGTGAGAACGGACCCCACCAGAACACCCTCTGTCTGCAAACAAGCCCAAACTGCAGAATTACCTTCTGCTCTGCAGCCATGGGCGGCCACTCAGGATCAGCCGGGCACCCTGTACCCCAGTTCTCGGGGTCTCCTGAAGCAACGAAGCGACCTGGCATTCTCTCACAACCGGTACTGACTTTTTTTTCCCCCCTCTTCTCTGCTTTTAGGTAGAGATAACCGTGATTATGCTTTATTGCTGTCTTCTTTTCATCCCTTTATGCGTGGTAGAATCCTAGCAGTTAGCCACCTCTGTGCGATGGTACAAGTAAAAAAAGACAATGCAAGCACAAAGCGATCGGTCAACACTAGGAGCAGTTTTGAATAAGAATTCAAAACTAATTTGAAACAGCTTATTGATTACAGCTATCAAGTGTCTAGGAAGTGAGTTGCAAATACGCGTATTGCTGATCTTTTTCGCTGTTGCCGTGTTCCAAGAAGAGATATGAAACGTCCTTCAGCTACAGAACTCTTATGTAAATACCTTGTGCTATAAAATTTACCCGGCCATAGTGCCTCAAAGGCCTTTAGCTGATCCTATCTCATTTTCCTGCCTTCGGTACAGTCATAGGAGCCAACCTATTTTTGCAGCTCCCCTCTCGGTGCGCTGCCTTAGCTCTCTGCAGGAACCGGCTGGCTGCTTCCCCGGGAGTCATGTAATCGCCCGTGTCCCCCAGCACCACCGAGCAACCGCCCCGCTCGTGGCTTCGCCGCAGCAACGGGCGCTTTGCTGTCCTTGCAGCCGGGAGCAGGGCTGAACACACCTCGGCATCTAGCCAGGCTATCAGCGCAACAGGCTTCCTCTGAGGAAGAGGAGGCACGTACCTATATGGCATGGGTTAACAGTAACACAGAGGGAAGTCTGTGCTACGCTGGTACCTTACTTTTCTTTCATAAGCATGTACAGTATGAGGAAACGCGAACACATGCAGTCCCAAGCACGAAAATGCTGTGTGTGCACCTCTTTAGGGCATGCTCAAGGATGTCTTCCGTCAGATTGGCATCTTATTACAGCTTAGGAGGCCCGCCGCAGAAAAAAGGCTTTAGTTTAACGCCCGTGGATGGAGAATGGTGTGCTTGGTACAGGTACCATCAACACCACAAACGTTTGTACAGCTGGTGGTTTGACTGTCTGACATCAGTACCCGGAAGGTTGAACGTTTCTAGCCAGCTCAACAGGGCTCTGCCGGCTTAACTTGCCCTCTCCCTTGCCAGGTCTCCAACGCTCTCAGCAGCGGTCCTGTGTGCCCCCCAAACCAGTTTGTCACCGTTTACCACTGAGGACGGTACGCTGAGGTGCGCTGCAGTGCAGTATGGAGTACAGCATCCGCGCATGGATTTTGGAGTAAGAGAATGAGTTTCCGCTCTCTTCGTTAGTGAGTTGAATGTACTGAATTTGATCACTGCAGCATGATGTTAAGTATTTATGACCCCTGCTCGCTGCCATTGGCTCGAATTCTGCTGTTTTATTTTTACACAGTAGACTTAAGGTAAAGTTTTACCCATTTCAGTAAAGCTACCTATGATTTAATGCGGGTAAGGAGAATTTGGCTCGCTTTTAGTGCCTCTTATCTGATTAGATCAGCAACAGAACCGGCAGCTCAGGGCACAGTGCAGCACTAGGCACAAAATCAACCGCTGAAACAAGTTGAATCCATTGCGTGCGGGGAGAAAAATGTGTTCTCTTTTTCAGTAGCTACGTGTCATCATGAGAAGCTGATGTAAGGTACGCGGCCGTGGTACGGGATCCTGGCAACTGGGGATGGAAGGGAGCTGCTGGGGGCCCGTCCGCTGTCAGGAGGTACCAGGTTTATCCCAACACAGCGAACTGGCGATGGCCATCAGCTGCCCCCGCTGGGCTCCGACCCCTTTTTGCACAGTGTCTGACGATGCGCTTTTAATAAGCTTTCGTTAAACTTCCCAGGAGGGGAACTTTCTGGAGTTATGCCCAGCCCCTTCTCCACCAACGCCTTTAATCCCGTGTGTACGCACTCGGCTTTATTCAGGCTCACAGCACGGTTATAAACCCCATTACTCGGGGTGGGGGGGTAAACCCTTTGCCCTTGCCCTGGCGGTCGCCGAGCAGCCCCCGGGCCGGGCGGGGCAGGTCCGCGCCTCCTGGGGG